CCACTGGAAAAACCATAGCTTTGACTAGATGGAGCATTTAACGTGTGCACAACAAGCACATACATTAACTCATTTCATCCACATAACCTTATGAGTAGGGCTTCTATCATCATTATATTTTGCAGACGCCAAAACAGTAAAATAATTTCTAGACTTGATGTGAAGAGCTGACTCATTGGAAAAGAACCTGATGGGAAAGACTGAAGGCAGGAGGTGAAGGGGGCAACAGAGGATGAGATGGTTGGATGGCATCATTGACTCAATGGACATGAGTTTGAGCAAGCTCTGGGAGATGGTGAAAGATGGGGAAGCCTGGCATGCTGCAGTCCATGGGGATGCAAAGTACATCGGAAATGACTGTACAACACCAACAATTTCTAGACAGAGACTAGCACTCAGAAATGCCTAAGGTATTCAGTGAGGCTTTGAAAGCACTTGAAGTTCAGTAGGGGAAAGAAGGTGATTGAGACTTCTGGTTTCTATTAATGACTGCCTAAGTTATTTTTATGAATCCTGATGAAAACAGCTAAAATTTCTGAATAAGAGATAAATTTTAAAAAATCTCTTGGGCTTCCCTTGTAGTCTAGCAGTTAGGAATCCGTCAGCCAATGCAGGGGACATAGGTTCAATCCCTGGCCTGGGAAGATCCAATGTACCAAGGGGCAACTAAGCCTGAGGACATAACTAGTAAGTCAGTGCTCTAAAGCCTGTGCTCTGCAACAAGAGAAGCCCCCACAATTAGAATCCCATGCACTGCAAGTAGAGAGTATGCCCTACTCACCACAACTAGAGAAATCCTGTGCACAGCCACAAAGACCCAGTGCAGCCAAAAATCAAAGAAACTTAAAAAAATAATAAAACTTAAAAAAATTTTCTTAAGGCATCCAGGAACTGACAAGTAGAGTTACCAAACCCAAAGTGAAGATCCTAATCCAGAGAGCAATGGAGCACGGATGCCTGGAAACCACTTTCAATATAAAGGCAAACCGTACTCGATTCCAGCATATCAGACCTTACCCTGGATGGAATGGGACAAACATCAAAACCCAGAGCACACATACCATGAGTCTAATAGAACATCTTTCCAACAAAAATCTGGCACACCAAAGGGCTATATCTTTCAGAATAAAAGAGCAGGTCAGAAATTGAATCCTCCCAGGGATTTGCAGGCTGGGAGCTCAGAAAACCTCAAGTCTTGAACTTGGCTTAAGATGACCCTGTACTAAATACAAAGTAAAAAAAGAAGAAAATAAAATGACCCTATACTATTCGTGCCTCCAGATGTTGGATATAAATAAATAAATGAAATTAGTCTTTGGAGGAAGAGCTATATTATCTCCCTTCCAGTTATTTCCACATCTTATTCTGCAAAGAACCAATTATTTTTTAAAGTATACAAGTAAAGATTATTGCCAACAGAAATAATGGATAAAATAAACTGATTGTCAAAGGCTTCAAATACTTGAATTCAAGGTACTATATATAAATGTTCATGGTTGCTATTTTCAAGAAATATATGACAAGCTTAAAAATACCCACAGGGAACAAGAATGGCAATGAGTGAAATGAGAGTTATTCAAAAGACCAACTAGAACCTTTTTAGAAAAGAAAAATATAATAACTAAATCCATCAATGAACTCCTTTAACAGAAGCTTCAGGGAGAATTAGTGAACTGGAAGATAGGTCAAAAGAAATTATCCATGCACATAAATTTAACAACTTAAGAGAAAATGGATCAATTCCTCAAAACCCATAAAATTACCAAAATTCACCTGATATTAAATAGATCATCTGAATAATCCTGTAACTATTTTAAAAATTGAATTTGTAATTTAAAAACTTTAAAAAAAAATCCAGGTCCAGTTGGTGATAGTTTCATTGAAGTAATCTACCAATCATTACAAGAGGAATTAGCACCATTCTATACAATCTCCAGAAATTAGAAAAGTAGGGAATACCTCTCAGCTCACTTTATAATGCCATTATTATTTTGATACGAAAACCAGACTAGACTGTACAAAATAAAAAACTACAGATCAATATCCCATGAACTCAGCTACTAAAATCTTCAGTAAAATATTAGCAAAATAATCTAGCAGTACGTAACAAGAATTATGCAAGATGGCCAAGGGGTTTATTCCAGATATGTAAGGCTGGTTCAACATGTGAAAATGAATTGATTTAACATTTGAAAATATACTGATGTAGTAATCCACTGTATTAAGAAGCTAAAGATAAATAAAAATCATATGATCATGTCAATTAGTTTTGAATAACAAAATTCAACACCCATTCTTTGGCTGCCCTGGGTTTTCATTGCTGCGCATGGGCTGTTTTGTTGTGGAACAAGGGTTTCTTGTGTGTGGCATGGGTTCTAGAGTATGCAGGCTCAGTAGTTGCGGGGTATGGGTTTAGTTACCCCTTGGCAAGTGGAATCATCTCAGACCAGAGATCAAACCTGTGTTCCCTGCATTGGTAGGTGGATTCTTAGCCACTGGACCACCAGAAAAGTACCTCAACACCCATTTATGATAAAAAAAAAACTATCAGTAAACCAGAAATACAGGGGAACTTCCTCAACTTGATAAGACTGAATACCTTCCTCTTAAGGAATAAGTCAAGGATATCTGCTCTGGCCATTCTTATTCAACAGAGTACTGGAAGTCTATCCAGCACAGTAAGACAAGAAAAGGAAATAGAAAGCACATAGATTGAAAAGGGGGGAAAAAACTTCCCTATTTGCAGATGAAAGAAGTCCCTGCAGAGCAACTGAGGCCGTGTGCCACAACTACTGAGCCCGTGCCCTGGAGCCTGTGAGCCGAAACTGGGAAGCCCGCGCTCGGCAACAGAGAAGCCACCGCAATGAGGAGCCTGTGTACTCCGAGTGAGAGTCGTTCCTGCTCACTGCAACTAGAGGAAACCCTCTGCAGCAACAAAAGATCCAGTACAACCAAAAATAAATAAATAGAGGCTTCCCTGGTGGCTCAGTGATAAAATACCAGCCTGCCAATGCAGTGTTGAGTCCTGCCCCCCAGGCCAGAGAAGTGGAGCCAGAACCAGGGTCACCTCTGAAGCTGACTGAGCCCCTTTGTAACTAAGCCCCTTTTGTTTCCAAAAGCCCCCCCTGACTTCCTGACTCCCAATTAGGCAAAGATGTCCACTTCAGCAAACACCCCAACCAGTCACCTAACACCAGCCTCCCAGCAGGAATTTTCTTTGGCTTGAGGCTATAAAAGTTGGCTATTAACCCACAAAAACTGTCAACTCTCCCTGGTCTGTCCGGCCCATTGCGCTCTCAGCGCCCACTTTATCTCTGCTCTTTGTTCTTAATATACTCGCTCCCTGCTGGAATACTGTGTGTCTGGAAATTCTTTACCAACCTACACTCAAACTGCTCATCATGCAGGAGATACGGGTTCGATTCCTGGTCCACGAAGATTTCATATGCTGCAGGACAACTAAGTCCGTGTGCCTCAATTGCTGAGCCCGTGTTCTCGAGCCCAGGGGCCACAGCTGCTGAGCCCATGTGCTGTAACTACTGAAACTTGCACTCTCTAGATAGAGCCTGTGCTCCGCAACAAGAGGAGCCGCCACAAGCAGAAGCCTTAGCACCACAATTAGAGAGTAGTTTTGAATTATTGTTATAAAACCCTTCGTCACATCCTCCCAGGGTGGAACACAGTTTTTTTTGAGACAGAAGACCAGTTTGTCTCCCCTTTGCCTGGCAAAGTGATAGAGCTATCCTTTTCTACTTCACTCAAAACTCTGTCTCCAAGATTTGATTTGGCACAAGTGTACGGAGAGGCCAAGCTTTCCGTAACAACATTAGACTTACAGCAATTGTATTAGGTATGCACTATTATTACCGCCATTATACAGATGAGGAAATTGAGACAAGTGAAATTTAGCTACCTGCTCAAGATGGCACAGCCTCATCAGTGGTAGAGGTAGGATTTTTAAAATTTTAATTTTTTTTATTGAAGTATAGTTGATTCACAATGTTGTATTACTTTCAGTATATGTGCTGCCGAAGCGAGCACTGCAATGTTGTATTACTTTCAAGTGTATAGAAAAGCGATTCACATATATAGAATCTTTTTCAGATTCTTTTCCTTTATAAGTTATTACAGTATAATGAGTAGAGTTTCCTGTGCTATAGAGTAATCCTTGTTGGTTGTCTATATTATATATAGTAGTGCCTACATATCAGTCCTAGACTGCTAATTTATTCCTTTCCCCCTTCCCCCTTTGGTAATCGTAAATTTGTTTTCTGTGTCTGAAAACACACAGAATAATCATCTTCCAGACCTCAGCTTTGTTCCTCCTCCTCCATTTCTGCCACCAGCGAGGTGTCTGTTCTGGCTCGTTTGCGCCCTTAACCACCACACATACTTGTCTCTCTAAGGGGCAATAGGGAGCCACTGAAAGGTTTTTACCCAGAAAGTGACACATTTGTTTTATAAAAACAAGTCATCCTGGCACCACTTTGGATAATGATTAAATGGAGCTAAGGATAGAAACAGGAGGCTGTTGGAATAATGTCTCCAAAAATGAGAGCCTGGATGAATGAGGGAGGTGGCAGGCAAAAGAAAAAACAGATTGGCGAGCTTTGCTGGAGTCAAGTCCACAGGACTTGGGTTTGGATCGGATTAAGGGGGTGAAGAAGGGTGAGGCTGGTACACAGGTTTCTGACTCAAGTAATTCCGCGGACACTAACAAGTCATTCACTGACGAGACTTCCAAGAAGTCTTATTTTGGACACGGTGAATCTGCAGTGCAGAAACGCGGCCGGGACCTAGGGCAGAGGCCACCCCCGGGGTCCTGCTGGCAGGGGCGCGCTGAGCCCGCAGGCGGGAGCTCTGGGGGGCGCCCAGCGCGCCTCCGGAAACCGCGCGCGCAGGCGCAGTGTGGCGGCGAGCGCCCCCTGGCGGGCCGTGGCGCGAAGGGACCGCCCCCAGCCTGGCGCCGCTGCCGCCGCCGCCGCCCGCCTCAGCCCAACATGGCGATGCACAACAAGGCGGCGCCGCCGCAGATCCCCGACACCCGGCGGGAGCTGGCGGAGCTCGTGAAGCGGAAGCAGGAGCTGGCGGTGAGGGCCGGCACCGGGGGTGCCCGGGTGGGGGCCCCCGCGCTTGCCCCCGTCTCCGGGCCCGGGCCCAGCCGCTCCGGGCCGTTCGTTACTCCCCGGGCGCAGCGCGGCGGCTGGGAGTCCGCCGGCCTGAGGACGGCTGCGCATTGCGCGGCCCGCCGGCGCCTCAGCTTCCCGGCCGGGCGGATCTGGAGCCGGGAGCCGGGGGCGGGGCGCGAAGCGGGGGAGGGGGAGGGAGGCTAGGCCGGCGGAGGCGTGGAGGGAGGATGGCGCCCGCGGGTGGGGGCTGCCTTGTGGGAGCCCTGCAGCGACAAGGGTCCGCGAGCTCCGCGGGCTGGATGAGGGCGGGCGGCTCTGGGCTCTTGGAGCGATTGGGCGGCAAGCGTGCCGGCCGGGTGGAGGAGATCGGCTCGGACTCGGCGATGGGCTCTGGGGAGGTGGGGTAGGAGACGGATGTGGGAGGGGAGACCCGCACATCCATTCTGACCTTTGGAGGATGGAGGGGCGTTAATGTCTTTGCGGGGAATAGGAGTAGATCAGTTGGATGGGGCTTTTGATGGGCAGGCGTGGGATGTGTTTGGGTACATCTTAGAAGATGACAGATGAGGGGGAGCGGACTCAGTCTAGGGAATTAGGAATTGTGACACGCGCCCGGGGCTCCTTGTTCCTGGTGGCTAAGCCCTCCCTCCCCTTGCGTTTTTGGCTGGAGCACCGAGAGGCGCATCTTACCTGAAGCTGCCCTTCCAGGTTTCCATAGCAACCGGCAGCCCAGTGCAGGTGGCCTTTCGGAGCTTGCAGGGAGGGGAGCGAGTTGGCGCTGGAAGGCTGCTCATTCTTCGCTCTCCGGTAGCGGTATCGTTTATGCGTGGGAGTGGAGACTGCTCACCTTCTTCCTCCGCGGAGTTTCTTGAAAGCTGGGTTTCCACGAAGCCTCTGAGTATATGCAGACGTTTGCCTGGGTGTACATATTTCTGGGGACAGACTCTTTCATTTTATTCTTAAAGGCACCCAGCAAGACAGGTCTAGACCGTCTTGTCTGAAACAGCCTGCCCCTGCCCACGTCATCCTTCTCCACACGGCTGGCTCCGTGTCGTTGAACTTGAATTTCCAAGCCTGATACCAGGATTTCAGTTTGGTCCGACTTAATGCTTGCATGTAAAAGGCATCAACTGCTTCCTTGTCTTTCATCTCAGGAAACACTGGCAAACTTGGAGAGACAGATCTATGCCTTTGAAGGAAGCTACCTGGAAGACACGCAGATGTATGGCAACATTATTCGTGGCTGGGATCGGTATCTGACCAACCAAAAGTGAGTGACTGAGGCCTGTAGTGTTGCTTTGTGCCCTAGTAATGTTTGCGTTTGCGGCTTCCCTGGTGGCTCAGTGGTAAAGAACCCGCCTGCCAATGCAGGAGATGTGGGTTCCTTCCCTGGGTCAGGAGGATTCCCTGGAGAAGGAAATGCCAACCCACTCCAGTATTCTTGCCTGGAAAATCCCATGGACAGAGGAGCCTGGTGTGCTGTAGTCCATGGGGTCTCAAACCATCTGACACAACTTGCGACTAAGCAACAACAACTGTATTTGTGATCAGGACTACGTATGTCCTTGGTATTAGCTTTGGAGGGAAGCAGTAGTAAGGTGGGGTGGACAGAGGTCTGCATTTGAGCTTGGACTCTGGTTCAGCCCCTGCCTTACTGAGTAACCCTGGACAAATTCTACATCTGTATAGTAGGGGAAGTCTGGCCAATGGCACAGGGTTGTATGAGGCTTAAATGGAATACAGCATATAATACTTTATATACCAGCATGCCTCTTGGTATTTTGTACATTTTAATCAGTCAAGAGTTCCGCCCTCACAGGATTTGCCCTACCTATATGCCAGCTGTGCTGTGGTTTATTTAGTAATATTATTCTTTAAAACTTTCTAATTTTTTTGAAAATTTTCGAATCTAGAGAAAAACTGAAAGAAAAGTTCATGATCTTTTGGTGCCCTTCATTGATCACCAGTTGTTAACTTCTTGCCACATTTGCTTTCTTGCTTTTCTCTTTGTGTAATTTATAAGCACACACCCCTCTGCGGGCATGCCTGCTTAGTCACTCAGTGGTGTCCAACTCTTTGTGACCCCACGGACTATAGCCTGCCAGGCTCCTCTGTCCATGGGATTCTCCAGACAAGAATACTGGAGTGGGTAGTCATTACCTTTTCCAGGGGATCTTCCTGACCCAGAGATCGAACCTTGGTCTCCTGCATTGCAGGCAGATTCTTTACCATCTGAGCCACCAGGGAAGCCCATACATCCCCATATCTATACTTAAAAAAAATTTTTTTTGGAAATAATTATAGATACATTGGCAAAAAACAATACAGAGAGGTTCCATATACCCTTCACTCAGTTTTCCCCAGTGGTTGGGTTTTATGTAACCATATAGTACAATGGTAAACCAGGAAATTGACATTGGTACAATGTGTATGTTTAGTTCTGTCATTGTATCAAGTGGGTAGCTTCCTATAACCACCACTGCAGTAAAGATATAGAACTCTTCTGTCCCCACAAAGACCTCCCTCATGCCACCCCCTGTAGTCGTATCTCTCCTTTCTTTCATTATATGTATATATACTTGTTGCTAAACCATTCAGAAATTAAAAGCAGATCTTTCGACACTTCTTCCCTAATAGTGTCAGCAGATACCTCCTAAGAATAAGAACATCTTTCTTAACGTAACCACAATTATGCCTAGAAAATTAGCACTGCATTAATAGTATTATCTAATATACAGTCTTTATTCATATTTCCCCTAATGGTCCCCAAAATGCATTGCTATAGCTTGTTTTGAACCAGGTAGTGTTTGTGCATTCCATTTGTTATGTGTCTTTAGTCTCTTAATTTAGGATCTTCCCAACCTTTTCATGGAGAAGGCAATGGCACCCCACTCCAGTACTCTTGCCTGGAAAATCCTATGGAGGGAGGAGCCTGGTAGGCTGCAGTCCATGGGGTTGCTAAGAGTCGGAAACGATTGAGCAACTTCACTTTCACTTTTCACTTTCATGCATTGGAGAAGGAAATGGCAACCCACTCCAGTATTCTTACCTGGAGAATCCCAGGGACAGGGGAGCCTGGTGGGCTGCCGTCTATGGGGTCGCACAGAGTCGGACACGACTGAAGCGACTTAGCAGCAGCAGCAGCAGCAGCAGCAGCAGCAACCTTTTCAGTGGTGAGCTTGTTTATGACATTATCTTGTAGAATGTACAAATTCTAGGTTTTTCTTGTGACTTCATGAGGCATCCTTTAAATATTTTTGGCAAAAATGTTGAATTACTGATTGTGTACCTCTTGTTTACCTCTGAGTTGTTTTTTCTTTTCTTGACTGCCCCATGCCATATGCTGATCTTAGTTCCCTGACCAGGGATTGAACCTGTGCTCCTGTAGTGGAAGCATGGAGTTCTAACCACTGGACCACCAGGGAAGTCCCTGTTTACCTTTGTGTTATCAGACAGCTCATAATGACAGATTGCCCCATTGTTGGTGCTGCTAAGTTTGATTCTGTAATTTTATGATTGTCAGAGTTATTTTTTTCTCTTCATAATTGACAATTTCAGAGGTTATACTTTTTTAGAAGTGTGAATATGCTACTCTGCCAATTTTTGTTACTGGTTTTAGTGTCCATTGTTGATTCTTATCTGAATCAGTTATTATAATGGAGGTTGCAAAATGATGATTCTAATTTTACTGTTCCTTTTACATTTGTTACTAGCATTCCGAAAGAAGAGTCGTCCCTTTTTGTCTTCTTTCCCTTTCATTCTGTCTTTCTGTCTCTCTTTAGAATCCTTGTAGATGCATGGATTTAAAAACAAAACAAAACCCAAAAAACCCCCAGTGTACTGGGGTCTAGTACTGTCACTTTTTTATGCTAGAGGTTTATTTTATTATTTAGTATAAATTCATTTATTGAAATCTATACAAAGAAGTACATAAATCATGAATTTACAACTCACTGACTTTTCACGCCGCAACACACCCATCATTATTGTTTTTGATGCTTGTTTGTCACTCAGTTGGGTTCAACTCTGCGACTCTGTGGACTGTGGCCTGCCAGGCCCCTCTGTCCATGGGATTCTCCAGGCAAGAATACTAGAGTGGGTTGCCGTTCCCTTCTCCAGGGGATCTTCCCGACCCAGGGATCGAACCCCGGTCTCCCACATTGCAGGTGGATTCTTTACCAGCTGAGCCACCAGGAAAGCTTAATTTGTCCAAAAAGTGGCCGGAGGGAGCCTCCCCAAGCCGATTCCTTTGACATGACCCTGTTATCTGAGCACTTTGTTGTTTTCTGTCACCTTGTACTTTACTTGTCCCAGGCCTGGTATCAGTCATTTCTCTGAGGAATCCTGGTTCTTTCTTTAAATTTTTAAATTCGGGTTATTAAACAGAGATACTTCATAGCACTAGTCTGTGCTAGATGTTTTTAATAATAGGCATTAAAATAAATACATTTTAAATACATATTTAAATACATATTGAATACATGAAAATGACTCTGAACTTTAAAGCTAAAGTCATCCCATGTGTCACAGTGGATCACATACCATACATTGGAAAACACTGCTCTGTGTGTAGGCATTCAGCATGAATGTCATTTTGGTCAATCCAGGTGGTGTGGAGGTGTTTCCGTAATGAACTTCATAATTAAAAAAAAGACTTCCTTATATTTGTCCTGGGGCGTCCTCAGCTTGAGCCATAGGAGTAGCTTGGTGCTTACAATGAGTTTCTTGTGTGTTTTAGAAACTCCAATAGCAAAAACGACAGAAGGAACCGGAAGTTTAAGGAAGCAGAGCGGCTCTTCAGTAAATCCTCAGTTACTTCAGCAGCTGTAAGTGAGGTGGGGGTGGGGGGGAGGATCTTTCTGTGGCCCATTGTTAAGGAAGCCCTCAGTTAAATTCCTGTGAGTTTTCCCTTTCCCGTCTGTCTGTGAGTAGGTTGTCTCTTTCCTTTCTGTCTGTGAGTGCTCTCCTGAGACCTGTAATAATTTTTTTGGTAACTGGTTGTTTTTTTTTTAGGCAGTGAGTGCTTTGGCAGGAGTTCAGGACCAGCTCATTGAAAAGAGTAAGTTTATTTATTTTTTTACCTTTTCATCAATTTATATTTGAGCTACCGTTACTCCTATATTTAACTTCAGTCCAACTGTGTATCTGAATACTGCATGTCTTTTTCTTGCTTCTTTCTGGAAGTTAGGAGCCCTTTTGGATATCCTTAATCATGTCTTTCTCTGTGGAAGAAACTACCATGTCCCTCCTGCCTTTTCAGTCACTTGAAGATTCACTTTAGCTGCTCAAAGACACAGAAATATGTTTTCACTCCTGTGAAGTCTTAGGAAATTTTTTTTTTAGTTAAAAATAACCCTTTTTATCATGGAAAATTTCAGACATATCTAATAAATTCCTGTGTACCCAATTTAATCATTCTTAGGAAATTCTGATGCTATGAATGGAATGTACCTGTGTGTTGTTAAATTTAAGATGGAAAGCAGATTGTATTTACTTTGTAGAGAAATTGTATCATTCTCTGTACTTAAGCCACACAGTCTAACTCCTTTCTAATTTCTAGTAATGAGACTTAGAGCTGCAGGGTTACCTTTCTGCATCAGACTCCAGGCAGATGCACTGGGTGCTCTCCCTGTGGGTCGGGTCGCTCTGAAACTCACCCTGCTTTTTGTACTGTGGCTGGGTACTTGCCCACGGCATGTCTCAGTGTGGGATCCAGTTGTTTTGTGTGCATTAGGGCACTGGTTTGAGGAAAATGGGTTTTGGTAGTTTGGGAATTAGAACTACCCAGTGACTTCTATTATTATCTCTATATACAGATTTCTGAGTTTTTAGCCTCGTCCCTAACTCACTTCCCTGAGCTTCAGTCCTGCATTTCTAGAAAATTCTATAAAACGTCTTCTAGACATTTCCACTCAGTCAGACTCATTTTGTCTAAAACTGAGCCATGCCGTTTTCTTCAAAGTGTGTCTGCCCAATTATTTTGTTAGAGTACTCTATTCTCCCGCCTTCAAAACTTGGTAGGTAGCTTTGACTCCTTTCTACCAACGTCATCAGTTGGACTAAGTCCTTTTTTTGTTCCCCTTCACTATGACTGTCAGAATGGTTTGCTTTGCCTTTCACACTTTTTGCCTTGGTATAGAATCTCTCCCTTATCCCCAGATTTTTGTGTAACAGATTCTATGGAATGATTCCTGTGTTCTTGATCTTTGGTGGCAATGGAAGAAGCAACCTTTTCCCTCAGAATTTGTACTTTTATGTCTTCAGATCTCAAGGATTTTGGAGTTTTGTATTTGGGGCATTTATTTTCAAACTGTTTTGAAAGTTTTCCTCAAACATGCATTGCTTTTGTTTCCTTTGGCTTCTTATGTACCTGCACTAGGAAGAGAATGGATTAGCATAGTCCCAAAGGGGAATTATATGCTAATTAGTGAAGCATTGTATATTTTTGTTAAAAGAATAAAGTAAAACAAGAATGAAAAACATAACAGGCAGATTTTATCCAGTTCTCCTGTAAAAGGATCAGCAGTCTCCCCTGTCTGTTTTACTGGGCTTCTCTGAAGCTTTCATCAAAGCAAACCCCTCCAGCATCTACATCCTTGCGCAGGTAAGTGATGCTTGAGTGTAGTTCTCGGTGTCTTACTTTCTGCCTTTTAACGTTTCATGTTGATCTGAAGTCACTGCCTCAGACTGTTCAGTAGCTAGTCCTTCAAGTAGAGTGTCTCATTTGTAGATTTATTTAACTTAAAATCTGATGTTACTTGCTCTAAGAATGAGTCGCTCAGTTTTATGTCAATGAGAGGCAGACTCGTGTGTGTTTTCATGGTGGCAGCGTCAGTCAGCTGCCCACCTTACTATTGTATCCTGAGATATTGTAACCCAGTTCTCTTGCTGCCACTTGCCTTCTGCTTCCATGAGCTGAGGAAGAAAACGATTGCTACTTTGTGGTTTCACTTTGTACTTTAACCGTGGTTAATCTAGTCTCCCTAGCTTCAGTCCCTCTTACAAACTGCTTCTAGCCTAAAAATCCTAAAACACAGATTTGCACAAAGAATGTAATACATATTAGTTGTTTGGTGTTACTTCCCTGTTCTGAAATTCAGGATGACTTCCTCTCCTTCTAGCAGCTCTTTTATTGCACATAACCTTGACTGATTGTTTGGAATTTGACTTGTGTGTTTGTAGATCTCAAACATGTTGAGATTTGAACACTTACTTCTGTTCTGGACACGAAGGAAACACTTTAGTTTGCATTATCTCATTTAATCTAAAGCTACTCCTTGAGGATACACGTAGATTGTCAGTTCCTTGAAAGTGGGAAACATGGCTATAGCCCCCAGTGTCTAGCTCAATGTCTTAATCATAAGAGATCCTCAACACATGAGAGACAGAATTCCTGTTTTACAGACGAGAAAACAGGCTCAGAAAGGTTAAACAACAAATCAGTTCTTTTAACATCAGTTTGTATTGTCCCCCTAGATTAGATCTCCTAGTCTGATAGTTATGACTTCTCTCAACTGCCACTTCTCAAGCTCTCTGTTTAAGAGGTGGTGTTTGATTTATTTGTTCCAAGTACACCTTGTGTTTTCCCACCTCTGTGCTTTTGCTTGCGCTATTTTTTGTACTTATTTTGGCCTCTTGTTTCTTTCAAGGTCCAGTGTAGATTCCACCCCTGCAGTGAAGCTTTTCCGGAATAATCCACTCATTTTTCTCTGACTCCCATAATACTTAGTATCCATATCAACCATTTAGAACATCGCTTACTGCATAGGCTCTCAATTCTTGGGGCTTTGATTTGATGAAGGCAGCTTTGTCTGTGTTTGCACGTGTGTGGGGGTACATGTGTACCGGCTTTATAGAATATGACCAACTCATGCATCCGTTGACTCAGAATTCCCATAGCAACTGCCCCCAAATGAGTCAGCAGTTGATTTTGCTCCCAAATGTATTTGACTAAAACTGCAACATAGACAAAATTTGCCATATCTAATTTGCCTTTTTCTTACTTGTCTCCCACCTTTTTAGTTAAACCTTCTCTCCCCTGTGCCTAGCCCCTCCTCTGTTAGTCCCATGTCCCTTCTTTCATACTGGGATCCAAAGCTTTCTTATTTTTTTAAATTTTATTTTATTTGTAATTGGAGGATAATTATTTTACAGTATTGCAATGGTTTCTGCCATACATTACCGTGAATCAGCCATAGGTATACCATGTCCTCTCCCACTCACCTCCCTCCGCATCCCACTCCTCTAGGTTATCACAGAGCACCGGATGCAAATTTTTTGTGACCACATGCCCTGTCAGCCTAGTCCCTCCCCAGCCAGCGCCTCCACCACTTATGTTTCCAGTGCTGGTTATTTTATTTTTTAAATTTTGGCCGTGCTGGGTCTTTGTTGTGGTGCACAGGCTGTCTCTAGCTTTGGAGAGTGGGCTTCTCTTGTTCTGGCACTTGGGCTCTCGAGCGCGTGGGCTCACTAGTTGTGGTGTGTGGGCTTTTCTAGTTGCAGCGTGCTGGCTTAGTTGACCCACTGCATAGACAAGTGTGGATTCTTAACCACTAGACCTCCAGGGAAATGCTGGGAGATGATAAATTTTTACTTGAATAAATAGAATTGGGTAACAGAAAGAAAAACTGTCCTAACCATACTTCTCCATCTTACACTCATCTTTTTATATTTCATTAGGTTTTTTTGGGCTTCCCTGGTGGCTTAGACGGTAAGGAGTCTGCCTACAATGCAGGAGACCTGGGTTTGATCCCTGGGTCGGGAAGATCCCATGGAGAAGGGAATGGCCACCCACTCCATTATTCTTGCCTGGAGAATTCTGTGGACAGAGGAGTCTGGAGGGCAACAGTGGGGTCGCTAAGAGTCAGATACAACTGAGCTGGAGAAATAGCATGTTCTCATTACAAGTGAGGCTGTTCAGAGGTGAATGTGAAAGAGATTATTTGTTTCCTGAGATACCCAGCATTAACAGTTTGGTTTTAATCTGACATATATTTCTGGACATAATCACACACACACAGAGCTGGAGTTTTTTTTTTTTTTTTTCTTATTCAAATACATTTCTGTTTAATTTATGAATCACAGATTCACTAATAATTTTATCAGCACAATTTTAAAAAAGATGATATATACAGAATTATTCTTACTTTAACACTTGAATACAAGAATATGATCTCTTTATATTCCTGAAGTCTCACAAAAGAAACAGTTTCTCATTCGAGGGAAAACATTACTTATTTCTGTATCGTAGACCTCAGAGATCTAGCCACGTTTTCATCGTTTAGGACTCTTCCCGAAACGACCATCATCATTGGTCTTTTTTTTTTTTTAAATAGAGATAGTGGATCAGTGCATACTGTCTGCTTTTTACTATTTTGTCACACATGGCCCTGCCAGTTCAGTACACACATTGAGAGCAGTGTTGAGTTGTGATTAAAGAGTGTGATTTGGAATCAAGCCATCTGGTTTGAATCCCAGCTCTACAGCTTCTGAGCTGTGTAACTCCAGGCAGGTTCCTTAACCTCCCCAGCCCTCCATTCCTTTCTCTGTAAAATGGACATCGTAACTGTAGAGCTTTTGTGAGGGTTCCATGTATTAATATATTTAAAGTGTGTGCAGCAGTACCTGGCTTATGGTAAGGACCGTCGTGTCAGCTATTGTTAGTGTCTTATATTCTTTTCTGTCTTTTTTTTTTCTGGCCATGCCATGTGGCATGTGGAATCTTAGTTCCCTGACCAGGGACAGCTAGGGAAGTCCCATGAGATTTCTTTTTTTTTTTGGCTGCACTGCTTGACATGTGGAACTTCCCCAACTAAGGATTGAACCCATGCCCTCGGAACCCATGCCCTTTGCAATGTAAGCATGGAGTCTTAACCACTGGACCACCAGGGAGGTCTTAGCATCTTGCACTCGTTTTAAAAGCTGAAAAATAACCTGCCAGTCTGGTTGTGCTTCCTCTGTTGACGAATATTCCCATCATCTCCGTTTTCCCCACTGTGAACGGTGTCACAGTAAACATCCTTGTTAACCATATGCTTTTTTATAATGCAGTTTTAATTT